GAATGTAACCTCCAAAAATTAACATTAACGATCGTAAATTGTGACAAATTCGAGATAGTTTATAAAAAATTCAGTAGAAGTATTTGAATAACGCTTCAATTCAGAAAGATCTCTTAAACAATCTTCTCCGCCAGGATAGTTGATAAATGATGGTATATTTATGTAGTTTGTACGAGTGTAAAATCCAAATGAGGTTTGATTCGTTAACATTTTAAATACTTCTCGTGCTATCGTCATAATTTGTTGATTTTCTAGATTTATAGGATGACGGAGTTTAAGGAACCTTTTAATCGAATTACAAATATCATTAATCTGAAGACTCTGGATAAATGCTGTAATAATGAAATAATTGAAGTTAGGCCAAAATTATAACTTCATTCTCAGATCAATTGTTTTTGATTTAAGTAGAGAAACCGAGCGAGAATTTTGTGTTCCCACAATTATAAATAATATTGGATAAATGGAATCTATTTTCATGGTTTTTCGTTTATAAAATCCAATTTTAACTAATAATGTTCATTGGATATTTATCAAATATTAATTTATCAATTTTATTTTATTTTTTTTTTTTTATTTCGTTTTTTATTATTTCTAGGTTTTTTTTTTATTTTTTATTTACGTTGAAAAGTTCAATATGTCCTTAAAGAGATCTCAGGACATTTTGTTTCCCCGGCCAATATGTCCTCCGGACAAATCGATGTGCCTTATGCATCATGTAGCCCGAACAAACTGTTCTTGGATAAGAAAAATATATACGTAATTGATGGCCTTCGACGGAAGTTAGTCAGCTTTGCATATAATTGGCCACATGGTAATTTTTTCACAATATATGCTTATTAAAAAGTATTGTTAATTTAATTTAATCATGACTGGTTTTAATATAAATATAGACATGATTATAAAATGGTTTTATATGATGTGATTATATAATGGTTGATTATAGACAGATTCTTCTCCCTTCACCCTCTTTAAATTTTAAATTATAATTTAATTGTCTAGTTTAATGAGGCAGTATTTTGATCAATTGATTTTTATTAAATAATTTATAACTTACTTATCTAATATTAATCTTCTGTTTACCATTCCTTTGTTTATAAATATAAACGTTAATAACTATAGTCTTTGCAAAAGATTGATTATAAGTACTATTTTGATAATTAGTGCGATATTCGAATTTTTTCCTCCAAATTTCTCTTTCGACGTCGAGACGATTGACCAATACGAAAGAATCGTACCGTACCGGTTTTCTATCTACCCGAACGAATTTTTGTACCGTCGTATTGTATTTAAAGCTCTATAATATTAGATCAACGTGATATTAACATGAATCAAAATAATAAAAGAATTAGCACTTTGGTTAAATATATGCGCCAGGTCAAAGATTTAAATGCAAATTTTGACTTGTTTAAGCAATTTTATATTGAAAATCAAAAAAATTTCAATTAAACAATCATAAAGTAAAAAAAAATATTTTTTTAATGTTAAGTAAACTAATAGAGCATGTGATGTTGATAAATTAAAATTTTTTTGACTATTTACGATCTTAATTTGGTGAAATCCGACTCTCGGAGTCGGTTCCGGTTTTAAAAATGGTTTGTAATGATCCTTATATATGATTTGTTACGTGATATAATTGCCGATCTCCGCAGTTCGTGACCACAATAATTTACTTAATTTTTCGAGTAATTGGCTGTTCATTCGTTTAGGTGACAATTAATTTGTCATATTTAGAGAAATTTCCGATAACATTCTTTAATTTTTGTTCAAAAGATTTTTATTAACGCATCTATAAAGGAAGAATAATAATAATAAAATAAAAAAATTATAATAAGTTATTGCAACTTGACCTCTTGTCATGCTATTTGCGAAATTTTTTTTTATTTAGTCTATTCGTTATCAATTAAATAAGTAATGAAAAGGTTTATAGTATGTATTTATAAGGCTCTCTAAGGGTTACACTAACCCAATCGGTAAATATAAAAGTGATGACCAAGAAAATCTAAAAATATCAACAAAAAAGCGCCACAATTCTAAAAGGAACTGATATGCAATGCACTAGCATAATGTGCATTATTTTGGAATTATGTAACCTTGGTACGGAGAATCATCCGATTTTAGATATAAGGAGTTCGACAAATCTTTGTTCCTTAATTTTTCGTAAACGAGAAATAGAATTCACCTTATATAATAAAACACATTTTTTACATTTAAAATACAAGCATGACAAAATCTGAAAAAAAACATGACGAATACCTATACTTATCAGAAACGTTTAATTCAACAGATAATATGAACATTTTCGTTGATAAATTATTTATACTATTGGTTAAAATACAAAATGAAGGTAAAAATTTCAGTGAAACGAAACATTTTCTTAATAAATGCATTACTCTTTCTATTCATTCTGCTGAAGATATTTTTAACTGGTTTAAAGAAAATCAAAATGAATCAAAAAATGTTTTATTTCTTGGAATTTTTTCTTATTACAATATGCTCAACTTAGATGAAAATAATAGTGAAGGATTCATATACTTTCTAAAAGCATCTGATAGATATCCTATTGCACAAGAATACTTAAGTAGAAGTTATATTGAAGGATTTGGTATTGAAATCAATAAAGATTTAGCATTTTGTTGGATGCAAAAAGCTGCAGAAAATAAAAATATTAATGCAATGTTTAATTTAGCTTTATGCTATGAAAATGGTAAAGGCACAATTATTGATTTAGAAAAGGCATTTTATTGGTATCAAAAAGCTGCAGAAAATGAAAATATTAATGCAATAAATAAATTAGCTTTTTGCTATAAAAATGGTAAAGGAACTAATATTGATTTAAAAAAAGGCATTTTATTGGTATCAAAAAGCTGCAAAAAATGAAAATACTAATGCAATGAATAATTTAGCTTTAAGTTATGAAAATGGTAAAGGAATTAATATTGATTTAGAAAAGGCATTTTATTGGTATTAAAAAGCTGCAAAAAATAAAAATGTTAATGCAATGTTTAATTTAGCTTTATGCTATGAATATGGTAAAGGAATTAATATTGATTTAAAAAAGGCATTTTATTGGTATCAAAAAGCTGCAGAATATAAAAATATTATTGCAATGAATAATTTAGCTTTATGCTATGAAGGTGGTAAAGGCACTAAAATTGATTTAGAAAAAGCATTTTATTGGTATCAAAAAGCTGCAGAAAATGAAAATGCTGATGCAATGTTTAATTTAGCTTTATGCTATGAAGATGGTAAAGGAATTAATATTGATTTAAAAAAAGCATTTTATTGGTATCAAAAAGCTGCAAAAAATAAAAATGTTAATGCAATGTTTAATTTAGCTTTATGCTATAAAAATGGTAAAGGAATTAATATTGATTTAAATAAGGCATTTTATTGGTATCAAAAAGCTGCAGAAAATGAAAATGTTAATACAATAAATAATTTAGCTTTTTGCTATAGAAATGGTAAAGACACTAATATTGTTTTAGAAAAAGCATTTTATTGGTATCAAAAAGCTGCAGAAAATGAAATGTTGATGCAATGTTTAATTTAGCTTTATGCTATGAAAATGGCAAAGGCACTAATATTGATTTAGAAAAAGCATTTTATTGGTATCAAAAAGCTGCAGAAAATGGAGATGTTGATGCAATGTTTAATTTAGCTTTATGCTATGAAAATGGCAAAGGCACTAATATTGATTTAAAAAAGGCATTTGATTGGTATCAAAAAGCTACAGAAAATGAAAATGTTAATGCAATGAATAATTTAGCTTTAAGTTATGAAAATGGTAAAGGCACTAATATTGATTTAGAAAAAGCATTTTATTGGTATCAAAAAGCTGCAGAAAATAATCAAGTTAAAGCAATGTTTAATTTAGCTTTATGTTATGAAAATGGTAAAGGCACAATTATTGATTTAGAAAAATCATTTTATTGGTATCAAAAAGCAGCAGAAAATGAAGATATTAATGCAATGAATAATTTAGCTATTTATTATGAAAATGATAAAGGAAATAATATTGATTTAAAAAAAGCATTTTATTGGTATCAAAAAGCTGCTGAAAATGAAGATGACAATACAATGTATAATTTAGCTTTATGCTATCAAAATGGCAAAGGAACTGATATTGATTTAAAAAAGGCATTTTATTGTTATCAAAAAGCTGCAAAAAATGGAAACACTTATGCAATGTTTAATTTAGCTTTATGCTATCAAAATGGTAAAGCAACTGATATTGATTTAGAAAATGCATTTTATTGGTATCAAAAAGCAGCAGAAAATGAAAATATTAATGCAATGAATAATTTGGCTTTATGTTATGAAAATGGTAAAAGCACTAATATTGATTTAGAAAAGGCATTTTATTGGTATCAAAAAGCTGCTGAAAATAATCAAGTTAAAGCAATGTTTAATTTAGCTTTATGTTATAAAAATGGTAAAGGAATTAATATTGATTTAAAAAAAACATTTATTTGGTATCAAAAAGCTGCAAAAATTGGAAATATTGATGCAATGTTTAAATTAGCTTTATGCTATGAAAATGGTGAAGGCACAATTATTGATTTAGAAAAGGCATTTTATTGGTATCAAAAAGCTGCAAAAAATGAAAATATTAATGCAATAAATAAATTAGCTTTATGCTATGAAAATGGTAAAGGTATAATTATTAATTTAGAAAAGGCATTTTATTGGTATCAAAAAGCTGCAGAAAATGATAATGTTAATGTAATGTTTAATTTAGCTTTATGTTATGAAAATGGCAAAGGCATTAATATTAATTTAGAAAAAGCATTTTATTGGTATCAAAAAGCTGCAGAAAATGAAAATGTTGATGCAATGTTTAATTTAGCTTTATGCTATGAAAATAGCAAAGGCACTAATATTGATTTAGAAAAGGCATTTTATTGGTATCAAAAAGCTGCAAATGTTAATGCAATGAATAATTTAGCTTTTTGCTATGGAAATGTTAAAGGCACTAATATTGATTTAGAAAAAGCATTTTATTGGTATCAAAAAGCTGCAGAAAATGAAAATGTTAATGTAATGTTTAATTTAGCTTTATGCTATAAAGATGGTAAAGGAATTAATATTGATTTAAAAAAGGCATTTTATTGGTATCAAAAAGCTGCAGAAAATGGAGATGTTAATGCAATGTTTAATTTAGCTTTATGCTATGAAAATGGTAAAGGCACTATTATTGATTTAGAAAAGGCATTTTATTGGTATCAAAAAGCTGCAGA